TTCAGGTCAATGTGGAACTGAAGGTATTCCGATTCGTGATGGACTAACTGAAAGTAGATTGATGGATCTTCTACATGGATCTGAGTATGTTCTTACCTATGAGGACAAGGATGGTGATTGGATGCTCGTTGGTGATGTTCCATGGGAGTAAGTTTGATGTCTAATCTGAGTTGTCGGATGACCACTTTCGTAAAGTTCATATATGTTAAGTAATTTAATCAAATGCATTCATCCTATCTTAAACCTATCAGAAATACCTGCGCGTGAAACTTGTACTTTTCCTCCAAACTTCGGTGTTGCCTGAGAGTTCATATTTCACTGAATTAATTGTATCCATCTATCTGTCATGTATATATATATATATATATATATATATATATATATATATATATATAAAGCTTTGAACGCATAATGATTTCAGGTATAGAAGTAAAAACTCAGTTATATTGGTGCAAACAAACAAGTTCTGGTTTTTATTTTGTAATATTGATAATGTTTTTCAATAACTACATTACAACCAAAACAAAAAGGTTTTCCAAGAACATGAAGATGCAAGAAAAAGGAGAAGAAAGAGGAAGCGTGATGATGGAAGCAGCCGTCTACTGCTGGGTTTGTATTTGTAATAGGTTTCAAATACCATATAGTTAAAACTAAATAACAAGACTTTTGAGAAGAAATGTTTTTCCTAAATTCTTTCGTAGTTGGATTGTCATATGGGCAAATTTTGTTGTTTAAGGTGCTATGTGTGTTTACTCGTCAATCATTGAATTCATTTTATGTTGACTCATTACATATTTTTTTTTTTGTTACTCAAGTATATAAGCCAAATGCACACACAAATATAGTAGAATGACACCACGTAGTCACTCTAAGGGGCTACTATTTAAAAACTAGCCAGTGCCTTCTAAATTTTAGTTTTCAGTTCAAATTTCAGGACAAAAATATCCTCAATCTCCTGAAGTTAAGATTTTTGTTTAAAATTTCAGGACAAAATAAGTACTAGCTAATTTCTAAATAGCATTCCTGAAAAATATCGATCTGTGCACTTGCCCGATAAATAAATACGATCAACAAGTAATAAAGTGACCAGTAGAGTATTATTCCCATACGGGCTTGTTATCAACTATTGACTAAATTAAGCTATTTATGAATTGTTAGTTCTAAGTGATTTTCCGAGGATTAATTGTGATTTTTGATTAACTAGTACTACTGTAAAAATTAATAACAAAGCAAGAAGATAAAAGTACGAGCATAGCACAAACAATTTAGGAGCAAGATCAATGAGATGGGATATTTCGGGATTATAAAATTAATGTCAATCTTGTTGAGTTTTTCGCTTAATTCAACTACTTGATTTATCTAGTTTATTCATAAGCATGATTTATATTGCTCACAAAGTTCTTTCAAAGCCTTGCTCGTCTATTCAAACCAACCTAATACTATATATTTATAGAATCAGACTCAACTAGAATGCATGAATAATTATTGCAATAATAATCAAGTAAGTCAATTAGCATATGTCTATCATAATTACGGGGTTCAAGAACTTACTATATTTAATCCTATATGTAATCTAAAGTTCCCAATTTCAAATTTAACTATAGATTCGTAGATAGTATTCAACTGTTAGCTAAATAGTAAAATAATTAAGAACAATACTAAATAAACAAACCAATATGATACAATCACGTGATTAAAATAACTCTATAACATCAACATTCAAGAACTATCCATAACCCAGAACAACTGAGACTTAGCCGCTTATAGTCGGAACAATCATAATAGTGTTTTAAAACATAAAACTAGGAATACTAGTTAAAGGAAAGAAGAACGTTGTTTTGCACTCTTTGTATGCTCTAAAACCTTTTATTGCCTCCAAAATATATCCAACCCTCTTAAAAACGAATTTAAGAGGGTATTTATAAGGTAGGATAAAGTCTAAGCCGAGGTATCAAAGTCTGAAATTGAAAAGGAGAAGAAACAGGCTCGGTTCGTGCTGTGGGGCATGGAGTTGGTTTTGCGTCTGACTAGGCCTTGCACCGTCCTGGCAGTGAAATTTTGCTGTCTTGCAGAGTGTAAGGCGGTGAAATTTTGCTGCCTTGCACTGTGTAAGGCGATGAACTTTTGCAACCTTGTGCCATTCATTCCTTTTATTTTGTTATTTTTGTTACCACTGTCGCAACTCCTTTTTACTTTATGTTAAAATATTCTTACTGTCACGACCCAAATCGGAGGGCCGCGACGGGCACCTGGTGCCTTATTCAACCGAGTACCATACCATCATCCGTAAATAGACCGGAAAGGCAGTCATGAGATAACCAGAATAAAACAAAAGGAAATAATCGATACAAACTTATACATATGACATAAGGGCCTATAATGGCGACATGACCATTTGTAAACTCAAAACATATGCCGACAAGGACTTACTGACCAAATAGGCAACTCCGGAGCAAGTAGAGTGCACCAACACCTTCCGCTGGCTGATAACCTACTAGGAGGACTGTCAACCTGTCTATCGGGACCTGCGGGAATGAAACGCAGCATTCTTAGGCAAAAGAGACGTCAATACGAATAAAGTACCGAGTATGTAAGGCATGAAACAGAAATAAGAACAATGTAAAGAGAGAGAGAGAAAATACAACCTGTAACATCTAAGTGCCTCTGAGGGCTACTGACATGAAATACATGATACATATATATACATATATATATACACACACATAAGTTTTTAAGCACATTCTCTTCTATGGGCATCATTATCATCATATTGTACCCGGCATAATAGGCTCGGTAAAAACGTACCTGGCTATCATAAGGCTTGGTAGAGTCATACCCGACTATGTAGAGCTTGGTAAACCCAACTGATCAGTGGTAGTACAATAGGTGTCATACCCGGTCGACTATAGCGCGACTCGGTAGAGTAAAATAGATACATATATATAATGCATGCTGGACTCTTGGAATCATGTTCTAAACCTTTCAGAGTGACGTAAGATCGTCGCACCTTCGATTAACATTATGGACAAACATATAATGCATATTGGACTCATGGAATCTGTGACGACCCGGCCAGTCGTCTTATGAGTAACCGCTCCGTTTTCCCCATTTCTGCTTTTTTATGTTTTGTTTATCCGTGTTATGCGACATCGGGTTGGTCGGATCGAATCCGGAAGAAATTTGGTAAGGTTTGAGATACTTAGTCTCTTTTGAGGGAGCTTAAGTTGGAAAAGTCAACTGGATGTTAACTTATGTGTTAGAGGGATCGGATGTGAGTTCCGATGGTTCGGTTAGCTTCGGGAGATGATTTATGACTTAGGAGCATGACCGGAATGAGTTTTGGAGGTTCAGAGTAGATTAGGCTTGAATTGGCGAAGTTGATAATTTGGCGATTTCCGATTGGTAGGCGAGATTTTGATATAGGAGTTGGAATGAAATTCCAAGAGTTGCCATAGTTCCGTTGTGTCATTTGGGATGTGTGTGCAAAATTTCAGGTCATTCGGACATGGTTTGGTTGTGTTTTTTTATCAAAAGCGTAATTTAGAAGATTTTAGAAAGTTTGGCTTGAATCCGATGTGTTTTGGGTGATTTGATGTTGTTTGAGGTGTTTTGATGATTAGAACAAGTTTGAATAAGGTTTTAGGATATGTTGGTGCCTTTGGTGGAGGTCTCGGGGGCCTGGGGTGTTTTCGGGTGGTCAATCGAATCATTTTGGAGTTTAAAAAATTGCAGAAGTTGCAGGTTAGATGTTGCAGGTTTTTACTCTTCGCGTTCGTGAGTGGATCCTCGCGTTCGCGAAGAGTCAAAGGAAGTCAGTGGAATTTTGGCCTTCGCGTTCGCGAGAAGGACTTCTCGTTCGCGGAGGGCTGGGAAGTGATGCATCGCGTTCGTGTGAAGGGCTTCGCGTTCGCGTAGAGGAATTGGGTCAACAGTGTTTGAGGTCAAGTTGTTCATCGCGTTCACGGGAGGGGGAGCGCGTTCGCGAAGGTTCGTCTAGGTAAAGCATCGCGTTCGCAAGGGCTTGGTCGCGATCGCGTAGGAGAAAATTGGTCAAAGTATATTGGTGCTTCGCGAACACGAGGGTTTAACCGCGTTCGCGAAGAAGGAATAAATGCCTGGGCAGAATGTTTTTAATCTCGTCTTGTCCGCGATTTTGAGGCTTATTTCCTCCATAGTTGATCATTTTTGGAGATTTTTAAAGGAGATTGAAGAGGGATTCAAGGGGAAACGTTTGGAGGTAAAGGACTAAAAACTCGATTATTATGTGAATTCTACTTAGAAAATCATGGAAATTAAGCCAAAAATTGAAAAACTAGGGCTTGGAAATTTAGACCTTTAATTGAGGATTTGAAGGACCATTTAGGGTTGGATTTGAGAACTTTTGATATGTATGAACTCGTGGAAGATAAGGAATCTATTGGTGTAAAAATTTCTGAATTTCGAGACATGGGCCCGGGGGTCGGATTTTGGTAATTTCGGGATTTGTGCCATTTATTGATTGTTTTCGCTTTGGCTTCGTTCCCTTAGCATATTTTGACGCCCTCGTTCTGATTTTGGATAGATTCGACGCGCGTAGAGGCCGGTTCAAGGGGAAAAGGCATCGCGAGCTAGAGATTTAGCCGGTTCGAGGTGAGTAATGATTGTAAATGATGTTCTGAGGGTTTGAAACCCCGGATTGCACATCGTAGTGCTATATTGAGGTAAGGCACACGCTCGATGATGAGCGTGGGGTCGTGCACTATTGGGAATTGTGACTTGATCCGTCCCGATTGACTATTTTACCGCGTATTTGATTGAAAACTATTTGCTATTATCATTATTTGGGCTGAATGGCAACCTTTTGAATCCTTCGGGGCTTTTTACTAATATTTCCTCACTATTTGACTTTATATTTGAACTCAGTCATGCTATTTTTCCACTGTTTTCATACTCAGCTATTTTTACTCAGTTTTATTACTTAAATGATATTTTAAATGATGTTTGGGCTGAGAAACATTGTTTTTACTGTTGCCCGAGTGGCTTGTGAGGATTTTGACTGAGTAAGGCTGAGGGTCTATGTTGGTCGGAAACATTTGATTATGAGGTCGAGGGCCTGAGATATGTATGCCACAAGGTGGCTTGAGTGATATGAGGCTGAGGGCCTAGTGATGA